CTCATGTTTGTGTGTCACCCACTCATGTGACATGACTTTTGCTGCTAACAAAGACAAGGGACGGGCTTAGCTTTACTTAAGAAGTCCCATTAGTAAGTAGAAGTGCTGGGTCCGCCGCTGCATTGGTAGCGCCACTAAAGGCATCATCGTGAAGCTTGGCGCCTAGACTTCGATCATCTTCCGCCCAGCGGATCGGCGCCCGCCCACCCTTCGCTGTCTACTCTGGGTCTTAGTGTTGATTCGCTATGCCGACTAAACTCAGGAATCTTTTCCCCTCTCCGTGGCTAACATTATCCTTTATATCGCTTGTCTCCAGGATTTTTCGCAGCAAAAGGCGAGGAGGTGCCTATTTTCGGTGTTTCGACGATTTATTTCCTTTTGTTCTCCCTGCGGTCTGCGTCGCACACCAATTCTGATATCAGAGGGGATTACCACATCAACTTGATCCTGGGGTTCACCTTCGAATATCTAATACCACGTCGGTGGTGCTAACTATAAGTTTGCAACTGCTACCCACTTGAGTACGGGAGACCGATGGTACCTGGTTCGAGCCACAATTTAGAATATTTACTTGTAGCGCATCAAAGAAGCTTGAGCACGCAGCAACACAAGGACGTGAAAGCATTAAATAACACAAAAAGACGTACAAAATACCCAGTGCCCGCTTTTGATCACAGAACTATTTTTTATGGATGCTTTCTTCGCTCCATGTTAGTCCCATTACTTTATATTCAAGCTCAATAATTCTGTCTAGAACAATCATACCTCTTATAACGGAGTCAACCGCATGGTAGGGATCAGGAGTGTCTGGAGCGGTCAGCCATCCGTAACCTGAGCCAGCGACCTCATTGCCAAAAGTGTTGATAAAAAGGCTAGGTAGTGGTGCTGCAACTAGAATCACAACGCTCATTTATTATATTATCAGTCATGAAGCATAATAAGGCCGATGTCATAGTTTGCGAATCGAGCGATCTGTTTTGCAAGAATACTGCGCTTAACGATTAAAGGTCCTTAAAACTTATGTAAATTAACTTTCTTACTATTAGCTGGCGCACTGAGTTTTCTGTGGTCCACTTCACCATACAGTGAGCGTTGCGAGTCATCTGTTGAAGGTGAATGCGACATACGAGAAGAGCCTGCTGTAACAAGTGCAGTAGCATGTAGTAGGCAAACACGTCAAAACTGCATGGATGAGTGGTTTACTGATACAGTGCGTACCAAAAGTATGTGGACACCCTAGAATCGATTCTCAGGGTCAGCTAAAGGCTTTTTGTGTTGAAACCTTCACCATTCAACTCCTAGTGGTCGATAACCTACAATGACATTCTCGGCAAAAGATTTCGTTCTAACTTAGCGAACTATTTTTCATGGAAAGTTTTTTCTTTGTATCAAAATTATGTGGACACCCTGAGGCAGATGAAGTTTTTGCATCGATTTCCTAACCTATTTTTACTTCTCCTTTCGTTACTTATTCTGGCATCATTCCTCTTCACGGCAAGCGTTTTTCTGAAGAAGACCGAGCACAGAAATGGGATCCCCATGCTTCTGAACCTTCCTATTGCGAAATAGCACGTCAACCAGTCATGCGTCCTCGTAGGTTTGGAGAGAAATCCGAAATCCTGATGCTAAGCTCTCGACCTTGACTGAGGGTTGTTCTCTTGTTCAACAGCTGAAGAGAATAACTTATTGTCTCGAAATTTTATTCTTTTGTGTATACTATTAGCATAAATTGGCCTTCACGATCTAAAAAGACCAATCGGCGTTCTCATTCAAACAATGAGCACGACAGAAGAGAGATAAGAGGTCTTTGTATAACTTTGGGACTGGGGTTTGAATGCAGGGTTCAGGTGGTGGATTCCCACTCAAAAAAAAGGGATTCAATATGATATCTTGAACCACACAGAGCTTATTCGTGGAAAATGGTAAAATTAGTATAAAAGATTTTCTGTGGAAATTTCTTTCATAGACCAACTCGACTGGCAGAAAGAAGCTTATTCCTTACTATTTGGGTGGTCTTGAGGTGGTTTTGGAGAGACTTTGGTCGGACCCGCAGATGTGCTCGAAGAGACAATTCGGAAGATGTTCATCAAAGGTCTGGGGTGGTTCCAAAAGGAGGGGGACATTGAAGTTTGGCTTGCCAACATGTCAGGTAGACGACTAGGATTATAATGAGGTGCTTGAGTCCCGGCTACAACCTTTTTCGAAAAGTCATGGTTGCAAATCACTTGTTTTGCAGGGGAGGTCCCTGACACCATTCCATTTGGAAAAATGCTAAACGCAACGGCTTTGATTGGCAAGTCGGCTAGCGTATTCCTCAGACTTCATCCTTATTGAAAACGTAGAGGTATCGTGGTTCGCGGTCTCTACGTCATTGAACAAAAGAGTAATATCACAAGTGACCTAACACGTCGGTGAAATTTGCTAGTTGGGAACAGATCTGCAAGACATGTATCCAGACCCCATTCATAGCATGCCAAACAGAATGGCTCAACTTACTAGAAACTTTGGTAGGCCTACCGATTTCAGATTTTGAAGATATTGCCGTTTTTCAAAAAGTGTCCACATAATTTTGATACAAAGAAAAAACTTTCCATGAAAATAGTTCGCTAAGTTAGAACGAAATCTTTTGCCGAAAATATCATTGTAGGTTATCGACCACTAGGAGTTGAATGGTGAAGGTTTCATGACATAAAAGCCTTTAGCTGACCTGAGAATCGATTCCAGGGTGTCCACATACTTTTGGTACGCACTGTATATGCTGAAAGGATTGAATAAATGTTGAAAATTTTTCGAATTTCTATTACGCGCCACTCACTACACATCCATTCGAATTTGTATCGAACTTGTAAAGACATTTGGATGCGATATGGTTAGAATGATATGGGGAACGCTCGATGTACAGCAGGAGGGAAGCAAGGCGAGGTTGGACTACGCGAGTTCGATCCAGCATTGACATCTGTGTAGTGCTAGCTGCTCTACGACATTTCCACGTGAATGCTCCAATAATTATTCTTGTTTAAACAAATCAGTGTAGAAAGAACAGGTAATTATGAGCACGCGGATTGAAGAAGGTTGACCATCACTGCATCCAGGCAAAAGGCACGATAATTGCTCACCGCATCTGAATCTAAAGCAAAAAGTTTTTGGCCTTGCCTGACAGTTGTAAGCGCGGCCCTTGACGCTGTAGCCTCAACTCAGCCCACTGACGCTGTCAACTTCCAGCGCCGGTGCACTTGTCAACTCCACTGCCCCGAATGTTGGAACGGTTAAATGTCAATCCCCGATGTGAACCAAACACCGGCAACCCCAAAAACCAATTTGTTTGCTTTTTAGCAACAATTTCCAACCCTATCAATAACACGTGGCAGTAACGCCTCCCAACGTAGAGAAACTGACCGCCTCACCCATATCATTCGCCCAAACCCACAAAATCTCTAGTAGCGCATATCGTGAAACCCAATCCAAGGCTGCCCGTCTTTTTCCATGTCGGTTTCACGCCTCGGTTTTGCCTTTTTTGCTCACAATGCATTCCGCATTTGGTTCGGTACTGTCTTCTTCCGAAAATGGATTCCACAGTTCAAGGCACGAACACGCACGGAGCCCAACGCCTTCGCAGACTCCCTTTACGAAATCTCCCCTGGGTGTGGCCCTACTGGCTTTCAACGATCCAACCTTCGTGGGCGTGACTCGTCAACGATGCAGCCTGAAAACCGAAGTGTTTATAAATAATACGTGAGCCAGACTGATACACCCCTATCACGGCCGAAGCCCCACAAGGTCGCCGCGATCGGAGTCTTCAACTCCTGTACAATGACAAACCAAACTAGAGTTAGCGTTTGCCGAATTTACCCCCTCCATTCCATCTTCTAACCTCCCTTCTTTCCTCGATTGAACACTCGCGCAAGCAAGCATCAAACGGACGTTAGACACAGAACTTAGTGCAAAAATAAGGCCGCAGTTTATATAATCGTTCCTAGAGAGTCGACTACTACAAACAATCAGATGAAATATAACGGCAAGAACAAAAGGAACGCCTCAGATCTGGTGCGGCCAGAGTTAAGCGATTGTAGCTTAGGTGGGTCGTATAATATGTGCCAAGAGGTTCTTACACCAGGGTCAACCGCCCGTTGCGCAAAGAACAACGAGGGGGTCGTATTCGGTTGAACGAAAGGGGAGGGGGTCGTATCTAGGGAGACGGGGCGGCGGCTTGAAAAGTGCAGTGTCCTGCAGTGCAGCTCCGCTTTCACCATACCCCGGGAGCTCCGGGGTATGGTGAAGCGGAGCTACCCTGGAGATTTCCTGCACCTGTAAAATGGAATTTCTGTGTGTGGCAGCAAATGTCGCACCACGATGCCTCCAAAATTATAGCAGAATACCCGCTCTCTTATTTATAAGCATGTGATGCTGGAGAGAATACAGTGAATTGAAACATAAAGTTCAACTGCAAAAAAGGAACAATATGTAAAATATACTTATGAAAATCACTCCACTTCCAGGTTCCAGTAACGGTATGGAACGAATATTATTAATATTTGGTCATCAAATATCACTTCCAGGTTATCGCGATAGTACCTTCCGTTTTACGTGATCGCGAAAGCGCCTAAGAGAGGAAAACGATAACGCCGAAGGGGCGTTATCTAAGCCAAACTTTCAGTTTTATTTTTTTTTCCGCTCACACTTCGCGATCTTAGCGGTAGTGGGACCGCGCGATCGTAGGATCACTATACGTACTACTTATGTTGCATAACTACCTTCCTTCCTTCAAGGGTATGGGTCGCCAGTACAGGCACCGTATCCTATCCTTCTCCCATGATAGTGGTAATAGTGCCTTTAAATGTTCTTTGTCTTTCCGACAAAAGTCGCCCCAACAATGTGCATATTTTTTGTTGTTTAAAGGTTTCGTTTGTTCGCCTTACCTGGGAAGGATAGGATAGGGCTACAGGAAGCGACGTTTCAGCTTTCTGCAGCGCAAAATGAGCGCTACAACTTTGGAATACTGGTTCGGGTTTCTAGGTTCCCGCAGTGGGGAATTTTCGCATGCAAAAACAGGAAAGTTTTTATTTTCTGTTCCGCGACCCATACCTTCCCTTTGATCACAGCGATCGCACCAATGCGGTGCGATCGTTTGCGATTTCAGTCGATACGTATCTAATCTTGTCAGCGCAATCTCCTACTCTACTACTATCCTAATCTCCCCGTCAATACATATGTTTTTCATTGTCGCGTACTATCCTAATCTCCGGAGTCGCGAACTATGAACGCGGCCAAACGGATGCTTAACATCATTTACGTTCTACCAAAGAAATATGTCGCAGAAAATTGAACTAACGCATTTTAAAAGCCTGGCAATTTTATATAACAGTAAAAAAAATTAAGGAAAATCACTAACATGATGAAATGGCGGACGGCACGAAGATGTTGTCGTTCAGTCGTGGCATCAGCTTCTGGCCCACTTTCTTCACCAGTCGATCAAACTTGCTTTTGCCGCAGCTATCCTTAGAGCCAGAAGCGTTGGACGTCGATGGCTGCGAAGCATCGTCGTCCATTCAGAACGCTTTCTGGCGACGACAATCCTTCGGCGGTCAGTCGTCACGGAACATTTGCACGTAGAACGACGGCATATTGGCGTAGCATTCGTGAACTCAGACTCTGCGCAATGAATTACGACAATTAGACAAGTGCTTTGTTGGACAATGCCGATGAATCTTCCTGGAGAAAGCGCGTTCAAATCTCATTGGATTCAGTCAGGATGGACCGCAAAGAAATCGAGGAAAGCCGTAGACGTCAAGTCCTTCCGAAATACTGGATATTCAACGCGAAGTAAACCGTTTCGCCCTAAAAAAGTGAGCCGTCTTAGGTTTTTGTAGGATATTTTCTCATTTTCCATCAATCAGGCTTACATTTTGGAATTGTCGTCCTGCTCATGATGGTTTCTGAATGAATTCTCGCAAG